CGCTTTGGCTGCTACAGCCTACTTCTTCTTCCGGTTCCCTGGGGGCGACCGGGGCAGCAACAGGAGCGCCAGTGTCGGCACGGTGGGGAGCAGCTTCACCGCCGCCAGCAGCAGTTCCCGACGTGTACGCTGTTAGATCCTCCATGGTCGTCTGCTTTGTAGGTGATACACCTCGATCCAAATTTTTGAAAAGTAAAAAAGGCTCTTGTGAGGAGCGAGCCCGCTTTTAAGAACAGATCAAAATTAGACATTTTTATTCATTTCTAATAATTGCCAGGACGAGTCCTGTGAAAAACTGTCCTACGCTCGGTTTTGGTGGGAAAAACCACGACCGCCACATGTACTCATCCAGGTACGAGTCGAGATGGTCCTTGCGCATTCCACGCATACTTTTGACATGCCTCTTTATCCTAGTCTCCCACAAACCCTCAATGGTGTTAGTATGAGTATCACTCAAGGGATCCACAAAGTTTTCAGAGTGATTAACCCAAGAATGCGAATACTTCATGCTTCGTAAAGAACGGTTGTTCTCTAGCGTGTGCCATGTACTCCCTCGCTGGCAGACGTACGTGGCAAACATGTCGGACATAATGTGGGTCCTACAAAAGAAAGTTAGCCAGCTAAAATTAAAAAAAAAACGTTACTCAATTTCTTGCCGTGGTTTGACGAAGCGCTTTAGAATAGGAAGTAGTGTTGCTTTAGTGCGCTTGTTGTGTACGATCCTAACAAACCACCGACCGCGGCCTCTTTCCACTCCGCCAAAGAGCCAAAACTCCTCGTAGTGGCGCCCTCGGTGGTACTTCTGCTTCTTGGCGAGACTAGTCTCGTCAATCTCTACTATCTGACCATCACTGCCAATCTGCGGCAACATATTCACAACTTTAGCAACTTTAGGCTCAACAAGTCAACAACTTATGTTCAAAATACCTGAAAGTCTGCTCGAAATAGCTCCTTTGAGCACGTAGAACGACAGAACGCGTAGCATTCATGGGCCGCTCGCAGTGATGTGCTAGCCAGCTCTGCGGCTTGTTCTTGAGAGAGCCGCATGCACCACGGCTTGGCGCAACTTTAGTTTGCTCTCATTGAAAAATGAGTTGGCAAGCAAGCCCCGGCAAATTTCTTTGCCGTCAGCATGGTGCTTGCGGCGGCAGCACCTCCAGCGCCTCCGAGTAGGCGCTAGCCTCATCGGCTTGCCGCAACGGGGGCAGAATTTCTGTTTGTCCACCAGCCCCACCTCCATACACCACTTCACACAGAGAGCCTCCTCACTTGTGGCTTGGATGACGTAGTCCATAGCGAAGAGGCTCTCGTCCTCGGTGTGGTATAGGTAGGGGGGATGGAGGAGCTGACGTGGTAGCGGCGGGTGGGGACATGGGGCTTCACGGTTACGGGGGCTGTGTGGTGGGAGGTAGAATCCAGGAGTGGCTGTGAACGCCCCTAAAAAACGGGCTTAGTTTTTACATTGCATACTAATTTTAGGATAGCTTGATTTCGAATATCTGGTCGTTCTGGTCCGAAAGCGGGCCTGTTCGTGTCGGACGGTCGACAAATTGCCTGGAGTGTGCATGTCATTTTACCCGGCAAATGACATTTTCAAGCCAACCATTTAACTATTTTCTAGTTTTAGATTTAGAACATCAGATTTAAAAAAGCGGGCTCGTTCCTCACAAGGGCCGTAAAAAAGGCTCTAACTCAGCAATTCGTTTATGTACGAAAAGCTGTTGGTCAACTTCAGAGCCGTTTATCTCGAAAACGCTTAAATGTTGATTAGTAACATTTTGTTTGCCGCAGTCTCATTTATGCATGCTGGATATTTACCGCTGGACTCCACAACGAAGCCCGCTGGACTCCACAACGAAGAAATGAGATTTGATTGGCTAAAACCATGGTAAAAAAAACTTCGTGTAAAAGGTGAAGAGCCGAAGTCTTCACGGTCGAAGTTGAATTCTCACCCCCTGTTAAACGCAGAAAACACCGATGAACATGACGATACATCAGCAATCAACGCATTTTTCGAGTCCCAGATTACGACCAAAAGCACACCAGGCAGATCTCAGTATACCTGTTCATAATGCGGAGAGGTTGGACACAACGCCACTACCTGTACATTCACTGGCCAAGATGTAGAACTAGTAGGTGAAGCTATACGGCCCGGAGAATACGTTCTTGGTTCTTCTCCACTGGAGGCTTGTGGAGTTTCAAGAAATACCTTCATAGGAACCGATTACGAATGAAAAGCGATGGTAAGTACCCGACCACAGCCCAGCCGAAGTGAGGATAACTAGTATCATACTCACAAATGTAATGGGTATTTGAATCGCCTTAAAAAATAAGATAGTATCCTGCTTGTGGCGAACCGATACAGTAATTCAGCGAAGAGTTGCCATGAGAGAATATAAAACCCAATAAAAAAGTGGAAATCTACCTGTGAACTCGTAAAGCTCTACCTGATGTGAGTGATTCGGCTGCGAACAAAAGTGCATCATATCTTGGAAAACGTTTCGGCTCTTATTATTTTCCAATTACCGAACGTTGTTTCTTCACACCATTCTGGTCTTGGTGTAAATGTGAGCAGTGTGATGTCTAGAGTTAAACGCAGCAAGTTGAAAAAGCCACCATATCATGACTTACAGCAACGCGTATCATGGGCACAGTTGCAGCGAGAGGAGTACTGAACTCGGCCGTGTCATCACCGACGAGGGACTTCAACTCGCCGGAAAAAAATGACCTTCCGCGGTCTTCACCACAAACTCCGTCGTCTTCAGCGTCTTCATCGTAACTGAAGTCGTCTTGTTAGTCTTCCCTCCGACCTTTCTTCCTGTGCTTCTACCTGATGTTGTCATCGTGAGCTTCTCTTCGATGCAACCGTGGTCTTCGCTACTGTGATGCTCATTAGATCGTCGACCGTGAAGACTTCGGCTCTTCACCTTTTACACGAAGTTTTTTTACCATGGTTTTAGCCAATCAAATCTCACTTCTTCGTTGTGGAGTCCAGCGGGCTTCGTTGTGGAGTCCAGCGGTAAATATCCATGCATGCTATCCATACTTAATGATAGCAGCGCATGCTTTGCATCTACACATTTCAAAACAAAAAAAAGGGCTTTGGGTTTATGGTGGGCCAAGCATTACGCGGGTTATTCAACATTCATGTAATTCATAAGTGGAAGATTTAAGAATAAAAAAATAATGTTTGAACGACAGCATTTATTTCTTGTCCAAATTATTATGGATTACACATGTTTTGATTCGTCATAAGGTATCTTAGG